AAAAAAAAACGTGACATAATTAAGCGTGACGAAGAATCGCGCAATATTATAGGAAACAACAACGTTGTTGTCGATTTATTTGGCGAGATTCAATCTCCGCAAAATGAAAATAAAAATGTATGCGCCTCTATTTAAAAGAATTCTAGTAAAATCTTTGTGTTTTGCACGTCTAAACTATTATCATATTATCGCAAACTTTTTTCAATCATATATCTTTTTTGTTCTTTACTTTCTCTGAATGTTCACTGATTTTCGATTCTTTAGACTTATTAGCACCAATAGAATATAATAAGGTTCCAATAAATACTAAAAAGCCTCCAACTATAACCCCATATCGAAGCTCATTATCAAAAAACCACATTGAAATAACAAGAGATGTAAATTTTCGAATATTCAAAACAAGATTTAACGTTAACGCACTGACTACGGAATGCAGTTTATGAACCCCCGAAATGCACACATACCTAAATGTTTGTAAAAAAAAAAAAAAAAAAAATAGAAATGTTATAGAAAGTTTTAAAAAAAAAATCTAGAATATTTGGGAGGCTTACTGAGTAAGAATATTTATGATGAGATAAGTCCATGCTCTTGGGAAAGTACAACAAGTTGAAAAACTTTGAAATCCGTCAGGAATAGATAATATCTTGTTCAGTGGTGTCAACGTAGTTTCATTGTAAACTTTGACTTGACCCTTCATATCAGAATAAAACAATAAAAAGAATGGTAATGCAAGAAAATGCTATCGAACAATAATTGAATTAGGTCAACTAATTAATTAATTTTACGAGTGACAAAATTGAAGAAAACAAATGAAGCTAACCGTGTAGAATAGTCCTTCACGCCAATCACTTTTATATTTCTCATATGTAAGTTCTTGATATAAACCCATAAAACATGATAGTACTAATGTGATTGAAAGTAGTGAGATACCAATCACGAATTCTGGCGTGCCAACAGTGGTAACCTCCTAATGTTAGAAATATTGAATTAATTTTCCCTATAAATTTCAGGTTAATGCGTAGTTCATCTCGTAATCATTTAATACTAATTATTGTTTAGTACCTCCGTACCGACGTCAGATGAACTAATAGTTGCAAGAATGACACCGAGAGTGACCATCACAACTGCGACAACTTGTTCTATTGAATATCTTAAAGTAATAAACAAAAAAAGGATTAGGCAATATATATATGCATATATATGGAAGTGATAATATTTCACACCTTCTATTTCTAATTGTCCAACCCAATATCATACTGACAATTAGTCCACCACTACGAAAAATAATGTGTAAAGGTACGGATATCTTATATCCGAATGCTACATTATTCAACACTGACACCGTAAAAAACATAGCCACCTGTATAAACCAGCGATATAAGGGAACTCCCCGTTTCCTAAGTTGTGGGATGGACGAAGAAAAATCAAGATTGTAAAGCAGGCCTTCACCGGCAATGAACAAGAATTGAGCAAAAGTAAACAGGTTTCCTAGAAAATGAAACAGTACCCTTATGATTATA